TCCCGGCCAAAATGGCCTCCAAGGCGGCATGGAGGTCGTGGAGGAGAGTTTCACGGAGGGAGGTATGGGCAATGTACAGGTCGTCCCTTGAATAGATAACCATCTACCAAATGGAATTCGCCTATGTTGCAATTGTCATTGTTGCCATATTTATCTAGATGACTGGTGTACATTGTAGGTAGATCTGCAAAAGCTATAATCTCTCCATGAAGTAATGTTAATAGGTTCCCTACGGCTGAGGGCATCTGCCACCTTGTTAGCCACTCTTGCCTTATGTTTAAATCATAAAATCAAAACGTTGTAGGAAGGATAACCATCTAGCATGATTGTCTTTTGGGAAAGAATTTTAGAGAGAAATGATTAATGAAGATAATAAATTCCTTGCTAAGTAGGTAATGTCCCCATTGTTTAAGAGCACAGACAAGAGCATATAATTCTTATTCCTAAGTACTCCAATTTTGCCTAGAAAGGTAAGTTTTTCGCTGAAAAATTCAATAGGGTGATTGTTTTAGGCTAAAATTGCACCCATTCCAATTCCAGAAGCGGTAACCTCAAAACGTTGTGTGAAGTTTGATAGGTTTAGGATCAGGCTGTTGCTTAGTTTGGATCGGAGGCTAAAACTTATGGTTTGATCTTCACCCAAAAAAATTTACCCTTTTTCAAGCAATCTGTCAATGGTGCTTAAATTTTTAATGAACTTCCTATAAAAAGAGGTCAAACCTAAGAAACCTTGTATATCTCTAGTTATTTAGGTTGGGGTCAATCGGTAATAGCTTTAACAACCAAGCCAATGATAGCAGACTCATATTGGATCATCATTTGCTAGAAAGATGGAATAATTGTCCCTTATATTTGCTTGTGTTGTTACCATGGTGTGTAGTCAATAGGAGTAGAACTACGTTCTTTCCCATTCATGAGAACTCATAAGTATTGTCACGTCCTTTGTGGCTTGTATATCATATCATTTGCCATGGACGTCCCAATAAGATATGGCAGACATCCATATCAAGGACATCGCAAATAATCTAATCTTTATAACTGTTCTTAATAGACAAATGGATAGTGGATATAGCTGAAACTTAGCTTCATCATTTTTCTTTATCCAACTCACTTTGTAGGGTGTTGGATGAGGGAAAGTTTTAAGGTTCAGTGTAGTAACAAGCTTGTTGAAAACAATATTCTCCGTGCTTCCATCGTTAATTATGATTACACAAATTTTCCCATTGATTGTACAACGAGTCCAGAATAAAGAATGTCATTGCGGAAAAAATTTGGTTTTAGGTGTAAGGAGTCTTTCAAGAATACAAGATACTYGTTCACCTTCATCCGATTCCAAATATTCAATGTCCGCATCTATGCCCATATCATTCTCAAGGCCGATATCATCTATTTCATCCACAAGATTAATAGTTTTTCATTGTGGGCATTCATTAGACAAGTGACCAACCTGTCATTTACCTAGAGTTTTGGGTTGTATAAGCATTGGTCATCCATTTTGTTGTGTGTGTTTGTTGGTTTGGTTTCTTCCACAGCTTTGCCTTTCGAAGTAGAAGCAATATTGATCTGTCCATCCCAAACAACTCTTCTTTGGTATTGAAACTTGAATTTATTGGACTGTTGTTCTTTCACAGTTAGTAGCTATTGCCTCATTAAAATAACCAATGAGCTTCAATTGTAAGTGTTCTTTTATGTCTGATCGTAAACCACTTACATACCACGCTACTTGATATTGTTCAATCTCACTAAGATTCATTCTTGCTCCAAGCTGATGAAATTCGATACATTCAGCTATTGAGTGTGATCCTTGCTTGCAACTTTGATATTGGTTTTAGAGAATTTGTTCATAATTTATAGGTAGGAATCTTTCTCACATCAACTTCTTCAATTTTTCCCAAGTTCAAATAGGAATTTTGCCAAACGTCGTTGGTTAGTTTCGAGTTGTTCCCACCAAGCCAGTGTACCTCGCACCTCCTTTTAACTTGAAAGCTACGTACTAACTTGACTTTTTGTTGTCGGGTGTGTTCATGTAATTGAAGAAATTTTCCACATTGTTGACCCATTCAAGAAATTTTCCAAATTGTCTGGTGTGTTCATTTTATACTCRTTATTTTCTTGATACCATTGATTATGATCCTAGGATACTTGCGGTCATCATTCCAATCACACACTTCTTCTTCRTCAATTGATGAGTCCGCATGAATTTTATTTCAACACTGCACAGAGAAATTTTTATGTTGAAGCTGCAGATCACACGGTTCTTGTGCCCTTCTTAAACCAATAATGAGTCTAATGATTCTGTTGATCTTGGTTTATCCTGATTCCTCGCTCCCTTTGATCACCTTCTTGCTCAAACCTTGGAGGATTTGCTTGCAGATTCATGGTGTCCAGCAACCCACCACATCCTGTAATAATTTAAGTATCTCCACCACATTCCTTTGGACAATTTCTACGGCGCTTTCGACCATCATAAGTCAAGTGGTTGTGGATCGCAGAGAGAGGACGAGATTTGGTTCCGCCTCTGTGATGGTGAGCTAATAGTCTCCCATGTTGGAGGCATTCTTCTTCCCCGCCAAACACGAAGCTCTGATACCAATTGACTTAACCGAGGAATTCTATTAGATTCTAAAACTTACAAAATAAGGAGCTTCCTCCCTTTTATAGGCTAGACTCTTAAAACAGAGGGCAAACTTTAAATTTCAACTCGCAGCATATTAGACTACATCACCATGTATCATCGATCATTTTTCCCCTCTAGCTCTACTTAAACCACCATATTGTGTTGCTGGATTTGTTTCATTTTTACAAGATATTGTGTGAACTTTTATGTACGTCTCTTCTCAATTATATATCTATGGAATTTGTACATAATCTTCTCCATTTAGAGGAGATAATTAGTTATCTATAAATACAAGGGAGTTATTTAATTATAGGCATGCACCGTATCATTCAAACTATGTGCTAAGAACCTATTTTCCTAATTTGAAATGTGTGCCTTGATATGTATTTGGCTTATTTCATGAGATGTATTTGGCACAATTTCACGCCACTTGCCCATTGCAGGATTCAATTGTATTGCTGGACGACTCTATGACTACATTGTATAAGTGGTGATAATTATGGCTTGTAATGTAAATCATTCGTTTACACAAATTATCTGCTAATTCCAAACTCATTTCCGAGGGCGACTATTAGCAACAACAAATGTTCAAGTCACTAGTTAAATTCTTCCTAGTATTGTCAATGAGTAAAATTTGAGTTCTCATACTTTACTCACTTTGTCCATGTGTATTAGCTGATTACAATTAGTGGCCCGCCGCGACCCGGCCTAAGGCCGCAATTCTAAGAGGCAGCATATTTTTCATATAATATATAATATATATACTGTAATATTATTATCTATTTATTTTAATTTTTAATTACAAACGTAATTTAGAGTAGAACATAATATATATATTTTTATAATATTAAAAATACAAACTAATATTTATATTTCTCTTGAAAATGAAAAAAAAATTAAAACCCTTAAAACTAACAGTGTTAGCTTACTTTATCAACAGATCAAGCAATTTCTCCACTTAAAAATATATTTGAACAATTTCAAATATATTAAAATATTTTAACTTCTTTTTTATATGAAAATTTTAAAGTAATTAGATAATAACAATCTTTAGAAAATATTGTTGTCTTAAAAATACATAATTACATGATTCATTTTTAGTTTTAGTTTTTTTTAGTTAAAAGTGTCCAGAGAAATCTTGTAAAATGGAATTATTGTCTTATTAAGATATTATATTATATAAAGTAGGCAAATGTTTTTTCAAATGCATATATTGAATTCAACAAAATAAAAGTTTTGTATGAATATTAATTTATAAAATTAAATATTTAAAATTTTTATGTCATATCTACTTTTTTGTATTTTTCATGCATTCTATAATTTACAAATAATAAAATAATATTTTTATCTATGCTTTAGAAAATTTAAAAATAGGAATAAAAAACTTGATTTTATTGTTTTCCAAAATTTTTACACAATTTTGGAAACATTTCTAAAAATGAGGAACAAAAAATTAAAATAGTTAACCAAATACTTATATTTCTCAAAAATTAGAAATAAAAAACATTACCAAAGAGACTTTAATATTGTTCCAATTGTTAATGATAGTGTTAGAAATTTAATGGTAGTCAAGGGGTAGTCAATGGTGTATTTTTAATTTTTTTAATTTTTTGCAGTACAATTTACTGATTTAAGTTGACAAATCATAAGTCAAAATATGTTGTTGACATTGTTATAGAAATATTTTTGAAGCAACCTTAATTCTCATTGCTTAGGTTTGATATAAGTTCAAATTTAGGGAAGTTAATAGTAGATGGTAAAACTAATTGCCGTATTTGTAAATTTGTCAAAACAAAAATCATCAACGATGCACTACTTTTCTATCATTATCATCGATATAATTTTTATATTACCAGCATATCATTTTTATATCATTAATAAATTTTCATGAGTTATTTTTTAACGATTGATAATATATGAATTCTTACATTTGCACGATATTGAGACAAATTTGCAATTATTTAAGCTAAATTTGCTATTATCACCCAACTCCTCGGAGCTTAAAATCTCCATCTCCAATTCCACGAGAAAAGAGGCATAGAACTTAGCCAATAGTATTGAGACTCTTCACTGACCAAAATCTAGGATTCTATTTGTAGAACTCAAAAGGATGACAGGAAAATATGAAACTATGAAACTATAGTGCTTTTTGAATACTCTAGAATTCAACAGTTGTGCTAGTACTTGTCGCTTCAAAGCAAAAAACAAAGTCTAGACTTTCTTAAGTCACGCAAATGAATTTAATTCTTCATGAAGCATATGATAGAATATATATAGATTGATATATAATTTGCAACACAAGACATGGACCCCTCCTTAAAAGGTATTGGTGAAAGAAATAAGTAGCTAATTTACAGAATTACTGAATAAAGAACTCTGTTCATTTCAAAGCTACTACCTTCATGAATATCAAATAGATCATCCAAGATGGCAACGGGATGGGGCAAGGTAATTACATAAGATGTCAAATCATTCAGGCACTCCCAAAAAGTTGAAGGGTGTTGGATGCTTGATGAAGAAATTAAACTAAACACCAACTCCAAGTCTAGTTTTGTGAATATAATAATGCGATGCAAGAACAAGAGTCCAGTTTTCCGCATGGAATTTTCGCACGGTTGAAATARCATCATACTACTCTGAAATATCACTATTTGATACATATTCTCATACATCTAAGAATCACAAAATAAAACATAAAAATGTAACTAATTCATGGATAGGAAATGCACACGAGCAAGTAGATACTCTTTTCCAGCTATCCAAACGCCAGTTTGTGACCACTGCACATCTTCCCAGTCTAGATTATCCTCAAGTACCTAAAAAAGAAAGAAAGATAAATGTATGCTAGGCTTACAGCATACTACTACTGTACTACAATCTGGTGGCTCACAGCAAATAAGAAGCCAAAGTTAGGAGATTCTCAAAACCAACATGAACTTAACTCAACGAGATTGTAGTTCACAGCAAATAAGAAGCCAAAGTTAGGAGATTCTCAAAACCAACATGAACTTAACTCAACGATGATTTATACCTATCTCTTACCAAGAGGTTATGAGTTCGAATCCTCCAACCCCATTTGTTATACTCAAAAAGAAAAAGTTGAAGATTCTCAAAGCCACGATGTCCTATTTATCTTGCCAATCTCTTCTATGTTATGATCTTAACACATTAACCAACTTTGATCATCCACGTTCTCGGAAAGGGTCAACATGCTTGTGGGTAACAATATAAAATCAGGGACATAGCAACTTAATATTACCTCCTATGATTCAAAGAGGTGTGATATGGCCGCTAACTGAAACTTGAAATTAAACTCATGGCAACTACTGCAATCAGATTCTAACACGGACCAGAGAGCTCACTATAGAGCAATCTTGGAAGTAAAAAATCATTGTAAATGCAAGAGGCTTCTGATTAAAAAAAAAGAGCACATATACTGAACTTTCAAAGGTTAAGACAAAACTCGAGAGAAGTACCTCCATGTGTTCGGAAGGCAGTGGAATACCAATAGAACGCATAACCTTCTGGGGCAGTGGCTTCTTACAGCGAGACCACCGAAACACATCAATCAAAGTATTATCATTATCAGTTCTATCACCATTTGGGCAGTGCACAAAGTGATTCTGAGATTTCTCGGCTTCGGCTTCATGSCCCTGAGATGCTGCAATGGTTTTCACCATTTTCTCTCCAGAAAAGCTGAGTTCATACCTTCACACAGTAGTTCAGATAGATTATGATTTGCATATGATTAAAGGATGTGGTAATTCAGTCAAATGAGGTTTCCAAATTTTTGTCTTCATGTGCGCATCAGGACATGTACCCAGAATGCAAATTGCAATGTGTATATATTGAAATAAAACTAGTACTATAATTCAAATAACCCAGTTGTATGGGTCCCGATTATCCGGTAATATGGCCCTCCATGATAGCCTTACAAATGAGTTATTTTGTAAGAACTGAATTTCATTGATAAGTGAAATATACAAAAGGAAGATTTYCCCTTTTAATTGCAGTCCCATCATAAACTATGGTGTGGAAGAAACCGTAGGATATTCGAAAACAAGCAAAGGGTTTGGTTGGATTGTCGGGATCTAGCCAAGTTTAAAACTTCTAAGGGGTGCTCATTCTCGCCTTTATTTAAGGATTACACAATCTCCACAATTTATTCCTCTTGGGAGGCCCCTTTAGCGCCCTAATTGATGTTTTATTTTATTTTACCGCATTTACTCATTTCATTCCTTGGGGAATTTGTACCTTTGAACTTCTATTTATTTTCATATATGTTAATGAAAAGTTTGTTTCTGGTTTAAAAAAAAATAAAAACAATGAATAACTGTAGCAACAAGATRTTAATTTGAAGTTTGTTTATGAGATGTAAAGGTAAACATCATGGCTGGGACTTGACATACCTGCACGAATRGGTTTCTAGATACAAAACTTCTCCCTTCTTCAACCGTGCAGATGTATAAAGGGGCTTTTTTAAGCCTTTGTCAGCAACAATACTTATACTGTATTTGATCCTGGAGATATTTGTAAATGGAACATTAAAGATGAACATTCTGCAATTTTATATGGTAAATCCATGAACACCATGAGATATCATACTATGCAAGATTCATGGCTTTGTCATGGCTATGTTATGTAGTGTACAGGAAACATAAGATATCATACGATGCAAGATTCATGGCTATGTTATGTAGTGTACAAGAAACATAAGAAATAACATCATAACAGTGCCAGTAACTGCCACAATTCGTGAAAGCAAGGCACTAGTATAAATAATCTTTTTTCCTCCATGATAAACATAGGTATTTGAACGATCAACCACTTATATGCAACACAACTAATCTCCTATAACATTTGCCTAATCCTGTAACATTTGGAAAACATATAAGTGCTTAAAACTTGCCCCTTTGACCACTAACTCATGGTGGTTGGTGCACTTTAACAAATTATTGAAATAATGTTGTAAAAGAGCTTAGATATATCAAATATCACCAATTTCCTAAAAAGCCTAGTGATAGAAGAAACAAAATTTAAACCCCAAATGTCATTGTGATGATAGGTTCTAACTCTTGTAGAGGCCTACTAGAATATTAGTCTATGAGCCAAAACTAATTTCGTAGAGTCAAGTGGTTGGGTTTTAAAATTAGTTGAGATACATGTAGACTAATCTGAACCACTAAGTATTAGGTATATGTAAATAGTAAATACCTATTCTAAAGTCATGTAGTTGTCTTGAGATACATGTAGACCAGCTCAAACACTGACTATGAATTCACTCACACAGAGATAGATGGATCGATACGTTAAATACATAAATACAGATGTATACACATATATGTACGATAACTTGCTCTTGCATCAAGTACTAATGAGAGGAAGCTAAAAGCTAAAATAAACAAATATACTTGAAACAAGGACTATCGAAAAGACTATTTAAAAGGTACTCTAGAAGAAACAAAGGAAAAAAATTCCAAACCTCCTAATTAAACAATAGACCATTGACAACCATCTCAATAACGTATGCCTAATACTTAGTCTTCTAGAAGACCCWGTTCATCATAAAAAGGGAATGGATAGTAACTCATTACTCACCTAAACAGAGAAATCATAGCATCTAGGAAATGACCTATTGTTGTTTTCAAATTGAGGACCAAGGCCTCCTTTTTTAACCCATAGAAGGTAGACTGACAAAGTTCGCGAGTAGTTTTTTTTAATATCAATATATTCTCAATTCTTATCACCCAAAAAAAAGGATGAAATGCTTTAATGGCATTATGGCTCACTTAGGTTTCTTAATATATATAAAAGACCAAGGCTACTAAACAGTGGAGAATATTGTTTTAAATGGCTAAGGCAGTATCAAGACTTTTCTTTTGAAGCGGTATGTGGCGTGAGCCTCAATTTTAATTAAAAATATTATACAAGTCATAAAAATTTATAATCAAGTATTGTTAAACATCATGATTATACGATAGTATAGTACCCAAGAAAATATGACTGTCCATTGTCATTTATCTTAAATAAAGATTCTAAACTTCGTTCTTAACATTATTGTCATTGCCTATAGAATTTTGACTTATCATTGTTTAAATTTTTGTCTTCAATGCTATTTAAACCTTGGGCGGTGAAGGCAGTAACAAGGCAAATTACCACAATCATGTATTATCATTACATTCACAAAATTTCTATATTTTTGAAGAATCACGCAAATTAATATTATTCTTCCCATCATTACACCATGTGTAAAGACCCAACAATAGTGTTCTCATGGAGGTGCAAGCCTCTTCCGTAAGAGGCGTAAGCCCCTTATGATCCAACAGAAGCATAAGTCTCTAGGCTAAGTTTAAGCCTACCAAGCCAGAAAAGTCGTTTAAAATGTTAATAATAATTGGATACAATTTAGGAGTTCTGAAGATTCATTGATCACAGCTCAACTGTCAGGGAGAAGGAAATATCACATATATGGCCATGGAATGTAAATGCATTCCAACAAACTACAAATATAATGTATTATGTTTGATCTTGCGATGATAATTTAAAAAAAAATGATGGGTAAACACAATGAGAAATGCATGAAAGCTGAGATAAACAGACCGCAAATACAAGTATATTATTACAAAAGAAACAAAAAAATCAAAACATGATTTTCCAGATCATTTTGCACATGTGTAAGAAGTTAGCATTCTGGCAGAGACCTGCAGATGCAGATTAAAAGAGAAGATTGAAGTATACCATGGTTCATTGCAGAGGTTGTACTGAATCGTAACTTCYCTTACAAACCTTTGTTGACGCAATGCATTCTGAAAAATATAGCATAACATGTAAATCATTATTATTTTATTTAAAACAAACCATAATGAAATGAAAAATCACAGCAATGATAGATATTTATGTTATTCCTTTGAAATGCCTAATAATATATTCAATCTTGAAATTTTATTATGCTACGAGGATGGTGAGACTGAAATATGAGTTACATAGTATGAAATAGACAGTAAGCAGGGCGTTTTATAAAACTACAATTTAGAGAACAGATAAAGAGCAGGACAGCCATCTCTGTCACCATTTACTTGCAGCCAAAAATTCTTGCTTTCAGTTCTAATAATCAAATCAAGCAGTTGTATCACTTTTTCTTTTCCTCTTTTCTTATAAGAAACAATTCATTGATGGTATGCAGTTGCATCACATTCAAATCCTTGGAGAACCTTTTTATTATATCATCAGTCAAATATCAACAGCCATTTCCTTTCTTATATGTGTAAAAGGAAGCAATCTTACAGCACGATCAAGAAAATTGTTTTCTTATTGTATATCTGAAGATAGAAAGATATACTGCTAGAACCTCAAAATTCAACTTAGAAATAAAAAAGGTTAAATATTATTTCGAAGTATTACAGAAGCTGCAGCCCTTGTAGTCATTGTTCGCTCAACGGCCACAGGAGCAAGTGTGGGCTCAACTGCAGATGTATGGGTAAGACACGGCTCAAGGTCAATGGCTCCACCTCCTTTCTGAGGATAAAAAAAGTTGAAAGAAGCATTCACAAAACAAAGATCAGTATGGTGCAACTGGCTCTAAAATCAATTAAAAATCACCCAAAATAAAAATCCCAGAGACTAAAGTAATACGGAATAAAAAACTTATTACATTACAACATCTAGAGTAAACTTCTTTCTTT